AAATAAAATTATATATATATATATATATATATATATATTTTTATTTATAAAAAATGCGGTTTTAAGAAGATAAAATTGTCAATCTAACTTAATACGTAATAATTAAACATTTTTTTTAATTCAAGTTTGACTACGATCAAGAATAATTGTTATATTATTCTCACCATGAAACTAAACATATTCTTAGGAGTCTAAGATCGATTAAAATTTTAATTTTTAGTTAGTTATAAAATATTGTGTTATTTATATTTTATTTATTGTTTACAAAGGTTTATAAAAAAAGAATAAAAATAGAAAATAATTTTAAAAAATAATAAGGAAATCAAATATTGATAAAAAAATATAATATTTTTCAAACCAAACAACTCAAGTTTAATTTTTCAAATCAAATTAAATAAAAATAAGAAACAGCTCGTGATATTATGGGGACAACCCATAAAATTGATGTAGTTTTGTCAAACGAATGATGTTGTTGAATATCAGTGAGGCCACTGGGGACAGGAAACACCATTACAAAAATGGTGTTTTACATTGAGTTTATTATATCACTTATTTAAAATCTGATGTAGAAAGGAATTTTATATATTGATTATATATAGAATCAATATAAAAAGTATTTTATTTTCTTCGTCATGAGAACAAATATAAAATGTGTGTTGTGCAACAGCAGTGAAAACACTAAACTAACTGCAAAATAGCAAAATAGTTAACTGGTTTTTCGTGAAAATAATAGACACAATTGAAAATACATATGAAAGCACTAGCTCCCATCCACTCATTTATACCTTTGTGTATTTATTATTAATATTGTTGTTATTATTTTCCACTGCTATATTGTTGCTCAATTATGTGATATTATTGTCGTCTTCCCTTTTAATGTTTTTCGATGTATTTGTGAGTTGTCATCCGTCAGTCAGTTTCGTTCCAAATCAGTTTTTTTATGAGTTCAAATTTCTTAAAAAATAGCTTCAATTTTAATAAATTAAAAATGAGTTGGTCTCAGCCTTATTAGTTTAATTTGCCTTATTTAATATATTTCTATCTTTCTTTTATTAATTACTTAATTAAAACTGAGGTCGTTAAATGGTTAATTTATAATATGTAGATTTATTATAATAACATTTTATATATTAATTTTAATATATTTTTTTGTAAAATTTTCTTAATTCCTTTTTATCTTAATTTCGATGAACCTATTAAAATCACCTTACACTACAATAAATGTTATATACATATAGTGACATACAAAAAGTGTCACTATAGGTACAATATCTATAGGTATATGTCTATTTGATATTGTACCGTCCAGGTTAAAACCCGATTGACCTCTACTCGGTTAAGACCCGACTAAGTTACCAGGCCACAAGCCCTCTCGCCTTATCGGCTCAGGGCTGGAAGGCTAGTGTACCGTCCCGGTCAGAATCCGACTTGCCCCCCGTCTTGACTGAGAACCACTCGGCCTACAACCGAGTTAACATCTCTATGCGAGCCGATTTGCTCCTACATCGACTCCACTCGCTTATAAGGGGGTCACTCGGCGCGTACCCGACTAGATCCTTGGTGTGCAAGCCGACTCGACCCTAACTCGGATCCACTCGCTTATAAGGAGGCACTCGGCGTTTACCCGAATGGACCCAGGGCACAGGCCTAGTCGGTTAAAGACCGACTAGATTAATCCTCACGCATTGCGCGAACACTTAGCAAGAACAGTTGAGAAAATCCCTACGTTCTCGGGGCCCATGAGGCCCATGGGCGACGAAGTATAAAACCTAAAACCCTAAGTCTAGGCAGGGCAGATTACACTTTTGAATGTTCTAGCTCTAAGGCACGATCTAGGAAAAAACCCTAGTCCACCCTTTAGCCGGAACAGATATATAATTACATATAATTTTAGTGTTTATTTTAAATGAGATTTAACAACATATTTTGTATGTTATTATAATCTATACCTACACTTTTTAATAATATACTAATATATATTGTAGTTTTGTGTGAATAAAAATAATTTTTAGTAATATATATAGTGTAACTACAAAATATATGTCACTATATGATAATTTTCTTCTACAGTAAGGATTAAAAAAGTAATAGCGGAAATTTTGTAGTTACAATGAATATAATTTTTATAAGGAAAAAACGAGTACGATGTATTTAAGTCATTTACTTATATGAGGAGTTGCGTTATGTTTTTCAGGTTAAAAAAATTCTACAGTTGAGAAAGATTAAAGTAAATAATCCCAATAAGTTAATAATTAATATTCTAACGTAATAATTATTGGTTATAAATATGTACATAAACTGATAACTTATTTTTATTAGTGATTAAAATTACTTTTTCCTCTTGTTGATTTCCTTGCATAGGATTGTGTTGAACAATGCATTATTTCAAACCGAAACAGCAAATTGTCTAAAATAATAAGAATTAAATATATTTTTAGTGTATGTAAAATGAGTTATTTTTAATTTTAATTTCTATTAAAAAATTGTTTTTTCATATTTATGTAAAATTAAGATTATTACTTTTAGTTCTAATTAGTATTATGCAGTTTTTTATTATTATCATTTTTATGTTTATCATATGTTTAAGTAATTATTTCCGATGATATTTACAATTATATTTGATATTACGTTAGTAAGCGATATAACTCAATTTTTTTAAAAAAATTTTAACATAAAAATTATTTATTGATCTTAGAATAAATATTAAAATAAAAAATAGTGATTTTAAGTTTTACAAGGACAAAAATTAAGAAAAATATTTTATAGAAGTTAAAATCAAAATTTATTCATTTTTTAGAGACAAAAATAATGATTTTAAATTTTAGCAAGATAAAAAAATTAGAAACTAAAATAAAAAATACTAATTTTGCAGAAATTAAAAATATATTTAAGTCAAACAATACTTTATTTTATTTGAATATATAATATATTTTAAAATAAAAATAAATTTTAATTGCAAGAATACATATACATATTTAATTTATGATTATTAAGACATTTTAACGATTAAATTTTCTTTGTTGTTGACAACAAACGAATAAAATTGTTGAAATTTAGGGACACACGCACGTAGCTTAATTATATATGATTGGTCATTTTATTTTAAAATTTGAAAATAAATATAAAAATAACAAACACAACTAAACACTCTCGAAATGGGCAATTTGGTCACCATGGCAACCAACCCAAATTGGGGTATTGTGAATTTTGTCGTATGCGAATGTGATATATCAGAACCAAGTTGGGAAGATTTTGATTTAAATGTTTTTCTACTTGAGGACAAGACAAGGGCACATGTTGAGGTAGGGGCCCCTATTCTTTTGTGGAACCCTTTAAGTTGTGAATTGAGAGGTTGAGATGCCTCACCCATTTCATCTTAGTTCTATTTTTCTGTGTAGAGGACAAAATGGTCCTTTCCTATTTTGTTTTTTCCTTTCTCTAATTACAAATACACCTTCTTTAATTTGTTTTTTTTTAATATAATTTTAGTATTTGTCTTTTCTTTTATCATTTTTTTTACCGAGAATATATTCGGACCAATAATAAAATCATATACACAACCAAAATGTCAAGAATATATTTGAACCGATATTAGAGTTTTTATCATATACACAACCAAAAAGTTAAATATCTATCGATATGTTTAAGGAATTCATTAATCTTTATTGATTTTTTTTTAATGTTTTTGGCCTTAATAATTTATGCACACATTTTACATTTCTTTCATTTTTTTTACCCTCTCCATCGCACCATTTATTTATCACATTAAATACTTTTTCTTTCCTTTCAAGTATTTTTCTTCTCACTTAAATTAATTCTTCGTACCATTTATTTATTTATCACATTACAACGCTAATTCATCATTTGTTTGCAAAATAAAATTTGCATTTGTATAATTTATTTATACAACAAAAAATAAAAATAAAAAGAAATATCAAACAACCGATATGAGGAAAAATATAAAAAAAATATTATATAAATAATATAACTATCGACAAAGGGAAGAGAGAAAAAAGAAGTTAGAATAAACAAAAAAAGAAGGCCTTTTCTATTTATCTTTAGGTTTAGGGAAAGGACAACATTTTGTCCCCATATACCGGCCCCTACATCTCTATATATAGTCACTACGCACAATCATGTTTCTCATCTCATCTCTATCTTTCTATACGGTACTATGTTTTCTCACAAGTACCAGCATCAATATAGCTACTATTTCTCAAGTCATCATAATTAGTCCCTCTTTCTAATCAACCATACTACTATTGAATTAGTAGTGGTATATTGAACACAAACACAAACACACCCTAATTGTAAGTGTAAGTGTCATTAACACCATCACTATGCCTTCACTTTCAGAAGCTTACCGAGCCCACCCTGTGCATGTTCAACACAAGCACCCCGACTTAAACTCTCTACAAGAACTTCCCGAGTCCTACGCTTGGACACACACACACATGGAGGATCACACTTCTAATTGTGGTGTGAATAACGAGAGTGTGCCTATTATTGACCTCAATGACCCAAATGCTTCCAAGATGATAGGCCATGCATGCAAGAGTTGGGGAGTGTACCAGGTGGTGAACCATGGCATACCCATGAGGCTCCTCCATGACATTCAGAGGGTTGGTGAGACCCTCTTCTCTCTCCCCTCTCACCAAAAGCACAAAGCAGCTCGTTCCCCTGATGGAATTTCTGGCTATGGCCTCGCTCGCATCTCTTGCTTCTTCCCCAAACTCATGTGGTCTGAGGGCTTCACCATTGTTGGATCCCCTCTTGACCATTTTCGCCAACTTTGGCCTCAAGATTATGACAAATATTGGTTCGTACAAACACATATGTGTTCTTAAGTTGCTGGCTACAACTTATTCGAATCAAAGTTTAAAAGTGTTTTTTAATTTTTTTTTTATTATCAAAAATAACTCTTTTTTTTTTCTTTCAAAGATAACCTCTTGAAAATACTTATAACTTATATTTAATTAAATAAATTCTTTAATATTTATTATAAATCATTTAAATAAATTATATCTTTTATTTTTTGATAAGAAATTTCACGTGAACTATGATGAAAATAAGTAGAAATAATTTTTATTTTATGAATTGATTTTACAAGATTGAATTAGATATAAGTTACTTTCTTAATCAAATATTTTTCGTTTCTAATTTCTATTTTAAAAAGGCAGTTTTGGTGTTTTTTGCGGTGACGACACGAGTGGCCAAATTACAAGCATCCATTTCCTTATCCTAATGCAATTGATTAGCAAATATCATAATAAGGGGGTGTGGACCCACCTTTGAAGATTAGGAGAGTGATATACGAGAATCTAGGGCACCGAATCAATTTGCTTCCGTTTGTTAACATGCTTGAATTCTCTTGGCTAATGGTCAATTGTGGTGTGATTTTTCCCCTAAACTTTCCTCATATATTTTTTTGTGTGTGTTTTTCTTCAGTGATATTGTCATGCAATATGATGAAACCATGAAAAAGTTAGCGGGAAAGTTGATGTGGCTCATGTTGGATTCATTGGGCATTGCAAAGGAAGACCTCAAATGGTTTAGCTCAAAAGGTAAATTCAAAAAGACATGCGCTGCCTTGCAATTGAACTCTTACCCGACTTGTCCGGATCCGGATCGGGCCATGGGTCTGGCTGCCCACACCGACTCCACCCTCCTCACAATCCTCTACCAAAACAACATAAGCGGATTGCAGGTCCACCGGAAGGGCAGCGGGTGGGTGACGGTGCCGCCGCTCTCCGGCGGGCTGGTGGTCAACGTGGGGGACCTCCTCCACATTTTGTCAAACGGGTTGTACCCGAGCGTGCTCCACCGGGTGATGGTGAACCGGGTCCAGCAAAGGCTTTCGGTTGCATATTTATGTGGGCCCCCGCCCGATGTGGAGATCTGTCCACATGCAAAGGTAGTGGGCCCAAGTCAGCCTCCTCTTTATAAGGCAGTGACTTGGCATGAGTACCTTGGCACAAAAGCAAAGCATTTCAACAAGGCACTCTCAACCGTTCGGCTTTGTGCACCTATTAGCGGTTTGTTTGATGTAAATAATAGTGACCAAGTGGGCTAGGTTATTTTGATCCTTTTAGATTCTTCCCTCTTGCATGGTCTATTTTGTACCAAACATGAAAGACCACATAAATGAAGACAACCTTTTTTTGCTTATCGTGGTAAATCAATTAGATGTGGTGGGTATGCATACAAACAATAAATAAGTTGAAGAGCTATCTCTAAACGGGTGAAAGCCATTCAGAGGATAAGATAGTCTCATTCAATTCGTCTTTCATTTGTCTTTGTTTTGAAAGTGACATTGCTAAATTAATTGTCGAGTTTGATTATTCAATTCGAGAGCAGCACGCACCAAAAAACATTTTTTTTCCAACTTTATATCTATGTGTTTATATTAAATTGGATTTGGATATAAAGAACTTAATTGAAACATATGCAATAATCGTTACCCAATTTTCCATGTCTCAAATTTGGATGAAAATATTTATATATAGGCATAGCCGCCCACAACATTATTTAATATATCGGTATAGTTTTTAAGTTTCTTAATTTTTTATTTTTATTATTATTATTATTATTTTTTTTATAATTATTCCTCTGAGAATGGATCTAGTTGAAGCCGTGTGTTTACAAAGTGAAGGACATGCATGCATTTATGAGAACCTTACAAAATCCCTAGAGAATGGATTCCAGCCAGTTGTGTTTGCCCACTGATCGATGACTGACACGAGTGTTGCAGTTTAATGAAAGGGATGGAAGTATTCTCAGATGGTAAAATGCATAAATTTTAACTTCGATTTGACTATTAGTTTTATTTTATGACGGTGTTTTAGTTATAAAATTATAAGTTTAAAATCTACACTTTTACTCGTAAAATAATTTTATACCCTCAATCAATTAAAAATTATGTTAATAATTAATTTTAAATTAATTAATTTTGTAAAAATTAACGAGATAAGCATACATAATAATTTCTTATTAATTTAACGATATATAAACTCTTTACATTATTATTATATATATGTACTTTTTCTTTAAATTTATTTTTATAAGGTATTAAATACTTAAGATACAGATTTCTTTTTTGCTTCTGAGAAGCATACTTTTTTAATTATTAGATTTTTAAAAATATTATAATGTATTTAGTATATTTAAAATATTCTTGAAAGAATTATACAATATTTTCTGAAAATTTTCAATTTTTTAAATACAATTTTCCAATGAATGTATTGATATTTTTCTTTATAGCGAAAATACCCCTTCATTCTCTTCAATATTTGATAAATAAAATTCACCACCTAATTAAATTGACGTTTACTAAAAAAATAGAAATTAAAATAAAGATTAAAATTTAAAATCAATGGATTGGCGGTTCAGGTAATAATACATGCTTATTTTTTATTAAACAATTATTGATTTCAAATTTTGCGTATGAAAAACAATTATTGGTAAGAGAGTTAATCTCATTGTGAATATTTTTATTTCGTAGTTCCTCCAGAAAAGAGTAATTGCAAAAATAAAAATTTCATGATATATAATAGTAAAACTGTGGAGTGGAACAAAGCTACAAAATATATATATATATATATATAGGATATCAAGTGAGAGAATTTATTATGAGAGATGAGAGGATTAAAATATAATTCTTAGATTAATTTCCTCTCATTTGATTAAATCTTAAATTTTCTCTCATTTAATTAATTTAAAGGTTATATTTTAATCCTCTCATCTCTCATAATAAATTCACTCACACTTGATATGTTTTCTATATATATATATATATATAATGACTGCACACTCTTAAAATATATTCTTTATACCGTTAACTAAAAAAAAATATTAATATGGCTTTTAAAATAATTAATATAAAAATGAACATCATGTAATTTGCGATTAGATGATAAGGATATATATACTCACTATACCAAAATTAATTTTTTGTGGTAATTAATTTATTATTTAGCGGCCATATAAATGTTCATTATTTTTTCTATCAGCATTTAAATAAAGATTGGTGTATCCAGTGTCGCTAATATTATTATCGACATTTATATAAAATGCTGGTAAAAATCTACTAAATTGTCGAAAAAACTTATTTTTTTTAGTGACAATTATAGTAGCCATTTTAAAGGTTATTAAAAGTTATTTTTTTCAATTGTATCTTTTACTTTAAATAATTTATTCCTATAATTTCCTTTTCTAAAATTCATAACTTATATACTTTTTTTTTATCTCTACTTGATGTGTGATTTGTAAGATAAGGGTTGTCTTTTATTTATATATTTTTTAAATTATTTTTTTAATTATCTTGTCTTTTAAGAAATGTGAAATTTATAAAGTGAAAGTTGCTCTCTAATTATTTTATAACACTATTGAATTACGTAATAATGGATGATTTGATACCAATTTAAAATAGTAAATTAGGAGTCAACCCTATAAAATGAACATGTAAGGTGATAGTTATTACTCACTTATATACTTTTTAATTATCTTATCTCTAATCGATATGAGACTTAAATTTTTTCTAATGAATAATTATTGCTAATACTAAACTTTAGTGTAATATAAATACATTTTTAATGGCTATTATATATTAGCCATTAATATTTTTATATATGATGGTAATTAAATTATTGTCATTAAATAATTATCGTCAATAACAAATTTTGTTATAATGACTTCATTATATATAGTATTAGTAGATATATATAAATAAAAAAAACTAAGGTATTTGAAAGTTTTATTTTAAAGTATAATACTACTTTGTCGAGAATCTTATTTGAAAAATATCACATACTAAATATGAAAGATGTTTTGACAGTGTTCTAAGAAACATGAGAAGAAAAATTAAGTTTGATACTGTGTATTTTTTTGAGCTTGAGAGTTGAGTTTGTAAATAATGGAGGTTCTCGGATCCGATGATAATAATGGAAAAAATCATTCCGACAGCGCCCTTTAATGCAGGTTCTAGCACTTTAGGTGACAAAATAAGAATCCGTAGAGAAGTGATGGACGTGGGTGGTAGATAAAAATTAAAAAAGCAAACAAGTTGAAATACTAGCTAGTTTTTACTGGAAGCAATGGAGCGGGAATAATTCTCAATCATTTGGCTTACGAAATCATTGTCTGAACTGAACACTGCAACCACGTGTTGTTGCAATTTCCAGAGCTTGTCATGGGGATGAATGGATGGATGGAAGTGGCTATTTTGTATCGTTCTTCAATGTTCGATCATGTTCCATATGCATCTTGTGTTGTCCCTATGTTGGGGGGTCTTCACCCATGTTTATTCAACCCTAGGCCTGCCTCTCCTAAACTTTCTTTCTTCCCAATCATTTTCTTTATTGAATAAAATCTACCACTTTTTGTCCTTTTAAAATAAATCCAACTTTATCTGTTTATGTTCATTGTTCAGTGATCATCCTTCGTTACAGATCCCTGCCGGAGCAGATACAACGAATCTCCAAGTTGGGGGGTGGAGGGATCAAACACAATTCATTATGATCGTCCATGGGAAATCAAAGTACTCACGACTCTCCATATCTAAATTTCAAATTATTTTATATGGAATAATTTATTTATAATATAATATATATCATCATTTAGTATTTGTTTTTAAAATACTTTCAATAATTTAAAATTTTGTATTTTAATAAATATTAATTCATTTATAAGCACCCATAAACACACCATAAAATATATCTAATGAAGAACAAAACAAATACTCATTCAACATGACTGGTTATTGTTGTTGTTGTTATTCTTGAAAATTTCTAATTTTGTTTTTATTTTCCATTGTTGGATAAACTCTTTTAAATAATAATGTGATGATACTAATCATTCACAACTGCTATTACTTGATTATACTACGTCATCACTTAATAGAACAAATCTAATGACAAGAACTAAAAGCGTACTGCGTATATTCCAATTAAATCATGAATCAAACTTTTTTTTTTTTGTGAGAATTAAAATAGGAAATTGTTATCGTAAAATCTGGGGCTAGACAGCCTAAGCTACAGAAAATAATTAATGCAGTTACCTAATTTTGGAAATCTAAGTTGAAATATTTATGACAACTACATAATTTCTTTTTGTTAATTTTATAATTAATGATTATTATATCTGTATTTTATTTCCTAAAGTACCCCCATTCAATTAAGTTTTCTTTTTCTTTCAAAAAAACGTATTTAAATTCATTGTTATATTAATTTTAGTAACTATTATACTGAGGATCGTAATAATAAGAAATTAAAAACAAATTTCTTTAAATAAGATTTCAAGTTGATTTTTGCAGATAGAAAAATATAGTTGAGAAGAAATATCTCTCTAAAGATAAATTAGTGAAATTTTTCGATAAAATTAATACAGTATTTTGTATTAATAAAATTATTATAAAAAGATAATCATTTATTATATAACATTTAATCAATTGAGCTCAATTAGATGAACAATTTTCGTGAATAGTTGTAACCCTTGATCCCGAGTTAAATCCCGAGTTTTAATGTTTAATGCATCCCACTACAATTTAATTTCAATATATTTTTTTCTATTTAATAATTTCACAACAATTTTCATAATAGTAATAGTTAACCATTAAAACTGTTATCTTCCTCCTTTTATTCGAGAGCAAAGGAAACGTTGAAAAAGTAAAGAAATCTTGTAAAAATTTGATTAGATACAAATGTAGAAGTACTTTTAACAATTTTTTTACTAAAAAATAATTTTTATTTCCAGTAAAAAAAATAGAAAAAAAAAACTCTCCGAAATCTGAGATGACTTTGCATGAGTCATTATTTAAGGAAAAATGTTAAATTTGCAGATATTTGTAGTTTGCTATCAATGGAGTAGAATATCATCAGGTGAAACCGCTGTAAAACCATCAAGTTCTAAGCTTTTCTACAATCTTTTCACGTGTCATCTTTCTCATCGTAATAATTTGTTCTCATTCCACAGATATATAATGAATGTTGATTACACATTAATTAGTAGAGCGTGTGAACAATTCCATCAAATGATTAATTAATGAATACTTCCAAGTTCCAACTGACAATGACCGGAAGCAGCTTATAATATGTATGCAGATTAGATTGGCGCCACACCATTCACTTGTTGATAAGAAAGAAATGGTGCATAATCGATTAATTGGCACACCA